TATCCAGTTTCCCATAAATGAACGTTACAAACTGTGCTTCAGTGAAGACTGTATGTTTATGCCCACTGACCCAACACACCCACACCTCTGGACTCTTCTCTGGGTACTTCTGAAGCATCACTTTATATGAAAATAGTGGTATTGGGTCAAGGGAACTACACAATAAAACCAAATAGCACCTAATTACCCTCTGAAATGAGTTGTATCTGTTTGCATCCTAATGGCAGTAAGTGGAAGTAGCTGTTTCTCCCCACCCTGGGCTATTTTAAGTGGGGAAGCCTGGGTCACCTTCCTTTCCATCCCTAGCTGTGGACCTCAGCTAGCAGACAGTCACACCTGCCCACAGGTGGGTCTCAGTTCCTGCTGCCAGAGAGTGGCTAGTCTAAAGAGCCCTCTGTTCAGAGTCCCCCAGAATCCTACTGACCAGAAGCAGCTGCCGTAAACATTTTGAATGTTATTTCCTTCATGCCTTTTTGAATCATTGCCAAGTGCAGAACAGTTCCATCACCACGAGGATCCCTCCTGCTACCCTCCAGTAGCCACACCCAGTCCCAACCCCCCTCAACCCCATCCCTAACTCCTAGCAACCATATCTATAGTTTTGTCACTTTAAGAATGTCATGTAAGTAGAATCACACAGTATGGATCCACTGTTGCATGTGTCAGTAGTTGATTGCTTTTTTATTGCTGAATAGTATCCCATGGTGTGGATGTACCACAGTGTCACCGTTCACCCACTGAAGGCCGTTTAGGTTGTTTCCAATTTCTGGCTATTACAAGTAAAGCTGCTCTGAACATCTGTGTACAGACTTTTGAATGAACATTAAGTTTTTATTTCTCTGGGATATAAGTCGAAGAGTTCTGTCACTAGATCGTATGATAAGTACACGTTCAGTTGTGTAAGAAGCCGCCAGCCTGTTTTTCTAGAGTTGCTGTATGACTTTACATTCCCATCAGCACTGTAGGAGTGATCCAGTTTCTTTGCACCAGAGCCCACATTTGGTGTTAGTAACATTTAAAGTTTGTTTGCTGTAGTTGTGATTTTTTTTTCTCTCTTTGCTGATTGAAAGCTATGTGTTCCATTTCAATTCTTTTAGAAATTATCCATTTTTTAATCAACTTTTAAAATGTAGAACAATTTTAGATTTACATAAAATTACAAAGATAATACAGATAATTCCTATATAACCTGTACCCAACTTTCCCCACAAATTTTTTAAATTGAAGTATAGTTGATTTACAATGTTGTTTTTGGTATACAGCATAGTGATTCAGTTATACGTGTGTGTGTGTGTATATATACTTTTTCATATTATTTTTCACTATAGGTTATTACAAGATACTGTATGTAATTCCCTGTGCTATACAGTAGGACCTTGTTGTTTCTCTGTTTTTATATAGTAGTTTGTATCTGCTAATCCCAAACTCCTAATTTATCCCTCCCCCGCCTTTCCCTTTCCCGTCATTAGCATCCTCAGCAGTATGGTACATTTGTTACCGTTAATGAGCCAATACTGATACATCTTTATTAACTAAAGTCCGTAATTAGATTCTCATACTCTTTACCTAATGTGCTTTTTCTGCTCCGGGACCCGACGCTGCATACTACATTACATTTAGTCATCATACCGCCTTAGTCCCCTCTCGGCTGTGAGCATTTATTAGACCTTCGTTGTTTTTGACGACCTTGACAGTTTTCAGAAGTACTGGTCAAGTATTTTATAGAATGTCTGTTGGGATCTGTCTGATGTTTTTCTCGAGCTGGAATCATGGGTTTGGGGGAGGAAGACCACACAGGTAAATTGCCATTTTAATCCCAGTCATGTCAGGCTACACACTATCACCATGACTTTTCATCACCGTTGATCTTTGTCAGTTCCTCTCCTGTAAAGTTACTTTTATTTTTTTAAACCCCTCTTTACACTATACTCTTTAGAAGGAAGTTGCTGTGAACAGCCCATAGCTAAGGGTGGGGAGTTATACTCCGCCTCCTTGAAGGAGAGATTTATGCATAAATTATTTGTTAACTTCTGTGTGTGGGATATTCGTCTCTTTCCCCCACATTTATTTATTTATTCAGTCATTCACTTGTATGAGTATGAACTCACGGATTTTTTTTTTAATACATTTCCTCCCCCAGTCTTAGAAGTCAGCCAAGGATCCATAGTTCCTTTTGTTGGCGAATGGTATTAGAAACCAAGATGTGGGTGCTGGGTGTGCTCATTGCTAGTGTATGTCCTGGCTTCTAGCAGACACTCTCACCTGACACAGCAAAGAAGTGTGTGTCTGCATACTCACCGTGTATGTACACATCTATAAATATTTCCAGATGTAAACAGGGTTTTGATGTTTAGCTAAGCATGAGTTCATGGTGATGTCTCCAACTGTAATCCATTACCACATGAATCATTCTAGCCCCCTCTCCTTCCCATACAACTTTTTACATTTTTTATTGAGCTGTGTCATTCACGTACCATACAGTTTACTCCAGAATTCAGTGGTTTTAGTATATTCACAAGGTTGTGCAACCATTGCCACTAATTCCAGACCATTTTTACCATTCTGCAGAGAAACCATGTGCCCATTAGTGGTCAGTCCCCACTCCCTCTTTCTCCTCTTCTCCCAGGAACCACTAATGTACTTCGTTTCATTATGGATTAGCCTCTTCTGGACATTTCTATAAATGGAGTCATTCAGTACTTGGCCTTCTGCTTCTGGCTTCTTTAACTTAGCATAATGTTTTTGCTTTACGTTAGTGTAATGTTTCTGGAAGTGGTTTAACTCTTAGTCTTGATACGTCCAAACATGTATCTGTTTTGCCATTGCACTTGAATGATGCTTTAGCTAGGTATAAAATTTGAGGTTCGTAGTTACCTGACTTCAGCATTTTGAAGGTGTTGCTCCTTGACCCTGTTATTGCTAAGGTGCCTGCTCTCTGTCTAATGGTCTTTCCTTTATAATATTTTTGCGTGATATCTTTTTAAGATTTTTATTTTTGATGCTTTGTAATTTACCATGATATATGTCGGTATGAATTGATTTTTATTTATTCTACTTAGTGCTTTTCATTTGGAGACCCATATGTTCCTCTTTTCTGGAAAATTCCCAGCTACTGTTTGTTCAAATTATTCTCGCTGTTATTTCCTCCTTGCTCCTCATCCAGTGCCTCTTTAGCATCCATTGATACCTCTTAAAATAACTCATGCTTTGGGTTCTTTGAGCTGCTCGCTCATGTTGCTTGTGTCTGGGTCTCTGTGTTGTCTTCTGATTCTGCTTCTCAGTTCTACCTTTTAATTCACTAATTCCCTGTCTGATTAGCATCTAGTCTAGGATTTATCCCATTTATTGAGAGTTTTGTTTTAAAATTTTAACTGTTACATCTTTCATGTCCACCATTTCTAAATTTTCATTATCACCTATTCTCATTCCGTTCACACCTGTTTTACTTCATAACATCTTATTCTTCTTTATGTATGTTAGCCTTTTACTGAGGCTATTTGATATCCTAAACATTTAAATATTTTTCAGACAGTTTTATACCATTGATTTCACCTGAAGCAAATTCCTGTTCCTGATTGAAGAGTTTGTAGACTGTCTTAACTTAGTGTGAGATTTTCATGGGTGGTAAAATTTGTTTCAAATTCAATATGAGTAAGAGGTATTTTGGGGTTGTTTCCCCTCGCTTTTTCTGTTGACTAAGTGTCTCCCTGTTTAGTGGTTCTGGCTACTTCCACCCCAGCCCCCATCTGAGAGCAGGTCTTATAATAGTGCTGTAGGGTCCTGGCCCCACAGTCGTCCTGGGAAAACATGTTTCAGTTCCTAGACTTGAGCCTGTGTCAAGACCCGTAGATTGCTGCAAGCCTTTGCCCAGGGCTGTGCTGGAGACAGCTCCCACCAGCACGTAAAGCCAGTGATTAAATGCTAAGGAATTTTGTGAGTTGGCTGTTAAACAGCCATTATTAAAATTTAATTATACAGACTCACCACTAAATAAATTATATTAAGAAGCAAAGGTAATAAATACACTGAACACTTGCCATTTTCTAATTATCTCGCTCCGTGTTACCCTCATCCCTGCTCTCTGGTTGTGTCTGGCTCTCGTGTCTGGGTGGTGGAAGCACTCTGTGATGGTGTGCTCTGGGCATCTCTTCCCACTTCTGGTTCAGTGACTCGTGTTGGTCATTTGAAACTGGCCCTCATGAGCATATCTATGCTGTGGAAATTAGTAAACATTCCAAATCGGGTCTTTTTTTTTCTGGAGCGCTTGTTGACCACACCAGCCCACCACCACCCTGGCCCAGGGCAGGGCAACAGTGGTTTCCTTCAGTCTCCTTCCGTAAACAGAGGTATTAACGCCACCCTTGTTTTGACCTGGGAGCCGAACTTTATTTCCTCATCTCCAAGAAAGTGCTTTTAGTCTCAGTTACCTTGTGAGAGCTCAGCTCCCAGGAACATTGTAACTGTACTCATTACTCTGCCTTCCTGCTTTTTTTCTGGTCCATAAAGGTATTTCTTTTGGTTTTGAAGCTACCTCTGTCCTTTGATTTTCTTTTTCATATTTTATGCGTCATGGCTCTAAGTTTGGAGAGGAAGAGGTACGTTAAGTGTTGAACATGCCATGCTGTCTTGGTTAGAGCTCCATAAACATTGTTTTTTCATAGACATGTACTGTCTGTCCTATGGCTATTTGTACAGGCCTCAAACTACTTCCTTCAGCCTTCTTCATCTCTCCCAAAGTCCTTCGCCTCGTCTCCCTCTCTCTCCTTGTTCCCTAGTGCTTTCCTGTACTGGTTATGACAAATGGGTTATAATGTATTCTATATGTAAGTTGTCCTTGAAAAGATTCTGGATGTCACATATGCTGCGTTCTTATTTATCATATACTGATAATGTTGTACATTTACTACACAAATACACTGTTCACAGAAGAAACCACTGGAGCCCCCAAGTCACCTAAGTGGAAATCCTTGGCCCTCTAATGTCTCTTCCCTTCCCTGCAGGTGTCAAAGCTGTGTTCTCAGGTCACTACCACAGGAATGCTGGGGGCACCTACCAGGACCTGGACATGGTGGTGTCATCTGCCATCGGATGCCAGTTGGGCAAAGACACCCACGGGCTCCGAGTCGTGGTGGTCACTGCTGAGAAAATCGTCCATCGATACTACAGTTTAGATGAGCTGAGTGAGAAAGGAATAGAAGACGATCTGATGGATTTGATGAAGAAAAAATGATTGCTGGTTATGATCTATTCACTTTTCACTTCTACTATTTTTTCATTTTGTCAGAAACAGCAGCTGCACACAACCCCTTATTGGAAAAAAAAAAACTATACCAGGCAGATTTTTGAATTTATGTCCTTTTGCATAAATCAGAGAGCTGGGTCCTGTCCTAAATGATATTCAAAATAGAACTGTCTTCCTTTTAAAAAAGAGAGTGGAGGAGCCTGGAAATAAAAGGATAACTGACATGATTTGACTATCTCTGTGTGGGTGATTGAATCCCTTCTCCTAATGATTCTCAACTCTGCTTTGAATTAGGTGGTTTCCTGGTAGGTAGCACATGGTAAATGTCTACCAATCGACCTTTATCGCAACTTGATACCCAAGTGTGATCTTTGATAGTTCCTTGAACAAACTGTGTCTGATTATATTAAATTGTGGTCATGACCCCCCCGAAAGCTAGGCAAAACGAGGGTCATCTCCTTTCCTTCCTAACAAAACAAGTAACTGTGTCCTATTACCAGAGCCATAGACTCAACAAGGAGCTGAGCAGCCAACATGTGCTGTGAAAGTCTGAGGCTTCTGCTACCCGTGAGGATGCAGTTGATTCAAGTCCAAGCTTGAGCTTAACTTCTTGGCAGCTAGAAAAGCCACCTTTACACGTAAATTGTCAGTATTTGAAAAACCTCATCCCGGAGACAAGAACCAAAGCCCTGAAGGGCCACCTCTGCCTTCACTGGGCAGCACATCTGAGCTCGTCCACAGTCACCTTCGATGCTGCAGTAGCGCCCTCCACAGGCTGACGTCTTCGTGCAGTTGGAATGCTCCCCCATTTATGAGACTCTTAGCTCTGTTGACTTTTGACAGAAGACGTGGGAATTGGTGCCGAGTTCTCAGGAGAAACCCGGCAGAAATTCCTGCAGGGTGAAAACAGTGCATTCAGCCACGCTGTCTCAATTGGCACCGACCCTGAAGAAACACACGGGTGCGGCCTCCCTTGACCAAGGAGGGGGATGGGTTCAAGTCAGCATTGTCGTTGTGTAATCCACTTTACTGCTGCTCCTCCGCAGCTTCTGACCGCTGCATCGTTTCATCCACATAATCTTTTCCAGCAGTCGTCCTGGTGGACAGGGCACCTGGGTATTCTCCATCCTGCCAGGAAAACTTCACAGCGCTATGCAGAAGCATTCAGTCATCCTAAAACAACTTTAAAAACCAGCTGCTTACAAATGAACTGCAAAGTCTATTAAATTAAAAGACTTTCTTCTTAAAAAGTTTCAGTCAATGTAGGCAAACCATGAGAAATTAAGTAGAAAGATAATTGGATACGTAAATTCATGAGGAACAAAAGACAAGAAGTTAATTATACTACAAATCGGTGACACACCACAGCTCATTGTTATGTGGCGAGAAAATTAAAACTTTTCAAAATGGGAATTCTCTTGGTTTAGAGTTTTGCTGCGTTCTTGTGTTGTATTGCTTTTTCTTTACAACAGGTGTGGATATGAGAACTCAAGGAGAGGATTCTTGAGGTATACTACGAGGCAGACCTCATAAGCCGTGCACTTGAGGCCTGGGATGTGGTGACTTCAGAATCAGACAGCAGGATCCTGAGCCAGGATTGTAACTGCAGACGTGGGGCTCCTGGGGGCAAATGGGAAGAGTTTAATCACAGTGGACTGATGGAGCCCTCTCTGTCACATTACCTGTGCAAAATGCTATGGCACTTGGGTTTTGGGAAGGATATGGAGATAATTAAAAGTAATGGAAATGAAACTTCTAAGGTTTCTTCTCCAAAAACTTAATAAGTAAGATAATTGATTTAGAACACAGTAAGAACATGCTAACAATAGGGAATCATGAAATTTTCACCATTCTTTTTTTTTCAATTATAATGATTCACTTTTATTATCATCAGTATTAAAGATCCAAGTAGTTTCATAGACCCAGAAGCTTAAAAGATTGGGATCTGGAAAATATCTAGGCAAAAGTAGGAGTTCAGGGTAGAAAAGAAAGAAAAAGTGAACATTTAGAAATAAGGCTCTTAGCACTCTGGACTAGTACAGATGTTCCAGGACATAGCTGGTAACATGGTTGATCGCCAGCATTGTCTCCTCACAGGTTGCCTGGATCTGAGATTCAGGGAGGGCAAAGCCATATCTCCCTTTGTCTCGGAGTTCAAAGGTGAAGGAGTATTTGATTCCTAGGTCATAAGCCCAGTCATCAGAGCCCCCAGCAGCAGGGTAGATTGTTGAAGCTCCTGGGCCATACGTGTACTCGGTGCCATGCAGGGTGGCAAGTTCTTCCACGGCAGCTTTGGCCAGGGCATTCTCCATGGCTTTGGGCATCCTTCTCCCTCTGTTGGAATCCTCTTTCTCTCTTTGTTCACAAGGAGAATTGCCATTGTTCTTCCAGATTCAGTCTAAATGTCCCCTTCTTTGCAAAGCTGCCACGACTCTCTTACGGAGCACTGAGCCTCCCTTCTTTGTGAGGGCTCACATCTTTATCAGAGTTTCTATCACTCTGTGCTCCTCACCATTCTTAAAGTCACCAAACAGCAGTATTCTCCAGTGGTGAAGGGTTCCGAAGGGAGTCAGGGAATGGTTTTGGACAATGTGTATCATTCTGATAATAGATAATTGCCACTGTGTTCACTTATGAGTCCTTTTTCTTTTTGAAAAATGTATTTTTAAAAGAGTGCCTTATACTGTGATAAACAATAAAACCCCATGATCATAAGTGCTATGGTGTGAATGTTTATTATGTGCTGAGTACTGTTTTAAGTCTTTGGCTCAGGGAGGTGGAGCCACTTGGCCAAGGTCACACAGCTCGCTAGTGGAAAAGGAAGGGTTGCGGTACAGGCAGTCCAGTTGTTGAGTCTATGCTCCCTAACGCCGTCCTCTTTCCTGGAAAATGTTTTTCACAGCTGAGAGGTTTGCACCTGCTCTTGGCAACAGATAATTCAGCACCCAGTGTTGGCCAGAAGCCCTGGGACTTCATCCCAGGGTTTGCAAAGCCTAGGCAAGGCCTTAAGGGCCCTTCTCTGACAACAGGTTCAAGGTGGCAAAGCCTGTCCAAGGAACAGGTTGTTCCAGGCAGAGGATTTTCATTGGAGGAGATTGAAAAACTGAACTGATGCCTGATGGGCACAGCACACAGCTCTGGCCATAACAGCATGCTTCATCAGATGATGCTTTCTTCCTTGTTTACCCAGGGGACAGGGACCCGGCAGTTCTCAGGGCAAGGAGTGCCACCTAATGCTCCTTCCTCCAATTAATCGTTTTTACTTGGGGGCAAAAATAAGAGACTGCTAAAGAAGGAAGGTTATTTAAAGTGGTCTAAAAGTGGGCTGTCAGGACGCAAAAGGGTGCGTTTGTGGACAGTGCGTGGGGAGATGATCTCTAGCCGTATTTGGTTTTTACAATAGGTAAGTTTATCTCAAGTCTTCAGTCATACTTCTCCTCAAATTGGCGAACGGGGCGGGGCGGGGGGCAATCTAGTGAATTTCATGGAACCAACAAACAGAACCCTTCATAATATCTTGATTTCCAGCACTGCAAGATAATCAGTCCCTGACAGAGGGTTACAAGGCCTGTTTAAGCCTAAACAATAAACCTCGGACCATTTGCCTTACGTACCTGTGAAAGAGACCGAGTTATATATAACTGCAGAATCTATAGACACATAATGCAGTTTAATATCATAGTCTGTCTTCCGGTGTGAAATCTTTTGAGAAAAGGTAGCAGAAACATCATTTGCCTTTACTTGAACTCTTAGCACTTATTCCCCAAGTAGTGCCTAGAACAGATTTGTGCAGTCGTGAAATTAAGTAGCAATCTTGTATTGAGCTAAAGGGAAAAAGGGAGATTTAGGAATAAATTGTCGAGGCAAGTTCTATTAAAAGCTCTCTGTGATAGACCCCAGGGATTCCTTATTCAGATCACCTTGGCGGTTTTGGTTGCACCTGCAAGAGAGAGTACTTGACAGATAATATTGATTTTTTTATAACTTCGTGAAATACTGTCTTTGCCATTGGAGAGCTCTTAGGTATATTTATATATACGCACAATGGAGAATTTTTTCTTGAATATAATAAATGACTCCTAGCATCTTTTTAGAAAAGATTTTGCTGACGAAATTCTCTTTTTCCTTCAATGGATTTTATTTTCATTATTCTTTTTAACATTTGTGGCTATACACGCACACACACAAATATATACGAATTGACTTTTTCCTTTAGATAAAACCTAAAGGGACTATATAAGGAAAAAAAAAACCTATGTAAATAAATTTAACTGACTGTGAATAATCACAAGTTACTTTTTATTATTCTGTCCTGTAATTTGTCTTTAAAAAGTAATTTTCTTCCTTAAAGGGGATTTGCACCTCACGTAGAACCAAGTCCAAACTCCTTGCTATGACTTCCCAGGT